CTTTGTCCTCAGCTAGCCCTCTGTTCCCCTATCAATTAAATTCCGCGCCCCAGAGCGATTGTTACCCTTACAAATGTGTCTACATTTCTGCTAAATGAGGACTTTTAACGTAGATGAGTTACAGATAATAAAGTTTTATTTTTGCAATGCATCATCACATATGAGTTTCAAATCTGGTGCAAAAGGACATCTTATTGAAAACTCAAGTCATCCTGGGGTGCCTGGGTGACTCGGTTAAGCATCTGCCTTTGGTTCAAGGTCATGATCCCAGGGTCCTAGAATTGAGCCCTTGAACGCAGCTCCCTGCTCAGTGGGGGAGTCCTCTCCCTGCTCATGCTTTCACTGGCTCTCTCTCTTCAGTCAATCAATCAATGAATCAATCAAAAAAAGAAACAAACAAAAATCTTGTGTCTTCCCACTCTAGGTAAAGCTGGAGCTCTTTCAACAGCCGGAAGGGCCTCTTTCCTTGCTCTCTAGCCTCCTCTACCACGTCTCCTTTGCTCTCTTTGCTCTAGTCAGTTCTTTAAAATTTTCTCAATGTAAAGTTTGTATTGGTGGCACCTGGATGGCTCAGGGCGTGATCCCAGGATCCCGGATCGAGTCCCACATCCGGCTCCTGCGCGGAGCCTGCTTCTCCCTCTGCCTGTGTCTCTGCCTCTCTGCGTCTCTCATGAATAAATAAATGGAATCTTAAAAAAGAAAACAACAAAACCCAAACAACTTTGTATGGAACTTGTAGCAGTTTCTCAAATGTCCCCTCTCTAATAGTGCACTAGTGGTGGGGTGGGGGTGGCGGCGTGTGAGAATTCACCCGGAGAGGAAGGAGCTTTACACGTGTTTTTGTTTCCCCCCCCTGCAAAAAAGCGTTGTCCCCACTTGGCCCACGGCTCGGGAGAGGGTGCCGGGGGTGACACGGTGCCCGGCGGGGCAGGGAGCGGCTCGGGCAGAGAAGCCCCGGCTCCCGGCGGCGGGGCGAGGCCGGCGGGGCGGCTCCGGGGCTCGCAGCCTGCGCGAGGGCGCCGGGCCGCAGCCTGAGGAGAGGCGCCGCCTCGTGCCGGAAGTGGCCGCCCGGAAGTCACCGAGCCGTCGGGGGCGCCTGGTCGCCGCCCAGCGGGCGCCCCGAGGGAGGAGCGTGCGAGGCCCACAGGTGCTGCCGTCCTTCGGGTGAAGCCGGGAGCTCGCGGGCCAAGGCGGCGACGCCGACGACGCCGAAGCTCACGACGCCCCGCCGGCTGCTGGCGGGGCGGAGGGTGGCGGACAAGGTGCTTCTGGAGGTTAGAGGCCGGTGGGAGGCGGGGAGAAGGGGCGGCCCTGGGCCGGCGACCCGGTCAGGCGGAAGCCAGCGGCAGGCCCTTGGGTCTGCTGGGTCCTTTTTTTTTTTTTTTTTAAATAAAGATTTTTATTTATTTATTCATGAGAGACACAGAGGCAGAGACACAGGCAGAGGGAGAAGCAGGCTCCATGTGGGGAACCGGTGCGGGACTTGATCTCAGGGCCCTGAGGCCACGCCCTGAGTGAGCCCAAGGCGGAGGCTCCACCACTGAGCCACCCAGGCGCCCTGCTGGGTGCTTTTGACACTTTATTATTTACAACAGTTTTAGATTTGTGGAAAAAGTATGAAGAAGGTGGAGAATTCCTATACTCTCTACACCCCGCTTCCCTTATTAACATCTTACATCGCATAGTAGTTTTGTTGTAAAGAACCAACATTGATGCTTAAAACAATAAATTGTTTAGTATCTCCTCAGATCTAAATTTTCTCTCCATGCAGTCCCCTCCCGGGTACTCTGTCCAGCCGATTTCAGCCACTTTATTCTTCCCAACCCTCCTTCCCATCTCCTCAACCCAGGGAATCGGTCCCCCAAGCTCTGCGGAGTAGACCTGGTTAACTTCCAGGACAGCCAGCTGGGACACTTGTGGAGAATATGTTTTCTGTTGACCAGCTTTCAGGGTTACTGTCCGTTGCAACTGGATGCCTAGTGTCTTGATAACCATTGTTTCTTTTAATTATTTTTTTGATTTTTATTTGTTTTTATATTTTATTGGAATTCAGTTTGCCAACATCCATTGTTTACATTTATTTCTAGTTTTTGGTTGTTCAGACTGGGCATGTAATTGGTCTCTGTAATACTACACTGACCAGAAGTGGGATTTCCTTTTTTTCTTTTTTTTGTTCTTATCATTTTAAATATTGTAAGCATAGTTGTTTCATGGTCTGTGTAGACTCATCTGTCAACTGAAATTTTGTGTGTCTCTTTTCTGGTCTGTTTTCCTGCTTGTCCTTGCCCATGGTCCTTTGTCTATGTGCATGGTTATTCTGGCCATCATATTGTGGTGTTCCCCGCCCCCCCCCCCCCCCCCCCCCCGTTGGATGGGAGCCCCCAAATGTAGGGCAACCAATTGGGGGAAGCCAGTGGCTCAGGTGGTGGAAGGATGCACCTGAGACAGAACAAAGGAGCTAGAAATTTCTTGGATATACTGCAAGGGCGCAGCAGGCAGGATAGCAGGACAAACTGTCTACTTTGATATGGTGGGGGCTGTTGTTGAGGAGGTATGGGGAGAATGGAATTCTTCCTTTTTTGGTAGCTGTGCCTGTTTGTAAGTAGCCCACTTGTCAGTTAGGGCCTATGGATACTTTGAGGTGGGTCACCTGAAGGGCCTGTCTGGATTTAGCCAGATAGGGTCACTGTGGGCCCTTTTGCCTTGATCATTCCATTTGTTGCCTAGAAGCAGCCTCCAAACATTCTTTTTTTTTTTTTTTTTAACACTTTATTTATTTATTCATAGATACACACACACACACACACACAGAGAGAGAGAGAGAGAGAGAGAGGCAGAGACACAGGCAGAGGGGGAGGCAGGCTCCATGCAGGGAGCCTGACGTGGGACTCGATCCTGGATCTCCAGGATCACGCCCTGGGCTGGAGGTGGCGCTAAACCCACTGAGCCACCAGGGCTGCCCCAGCCTCCAAACATTCTTAAATATTTGTGGCAATAACTTTGGGCTAGGATGGAGTCACATTCCTTCAGAGAGGATTTCCATTTGCCTCTGCGACCTGGAGGATTTGGGGGATCATTTGGGGATGTTCTCAGTTGAGGACAACCTTAAATTTTAAGGCTTGGGATTCCCTACATATCAGGCAAGTAGGATTTAAGATGAAATTCTGTGTGAGGGCTGGGCCACATCATACACCCTGGGGGTGGGTGCTTTTGGGGTACCATTTTTTGGATACATTATTACTAATTGAAGCCTATGCTTATTTAGATTTTCATAGTTTTTACCTAATACACTTCTGTTTCAGGGCCCTGTCCATGGTACATTACATTTAAGCATCGTGTCTCCTTAGACTCTTGGATGCAATGGTTTCTTAGACTTTCCCTTTTTTTCATAACTGTGACAGTTTGGAGGAGTACTGACCAGGTATTACGTAGCATGTTCCTTAATTAGGATTTGTCTGATGTTTTTCTCATGATTAGATTGAGCTTGTAGATTTCCGGCAGCAAAACCACAGAGAGAAATGACCTTTTTCATTATATCAAAAATACTTCTTAGGTGCACATGGGTGACTCACTTGGTTGAACATTGGAGTTATGGTTTTGGCTCAGGTCATAATCTCATGGGCTGTGGGATTGACCCCTGCCTTAGTATCCCCACTTGGTGGGGAGTTGCTTGAGTTTCTCTCCCTCTGTCCCTCCCCTTACGTGTTTCCCCTCTCATAAATAAATAAATAAATAAATAAATAAATAAATAAATAAACACTTTTAAAAAAAGATTTATTTATTCATGAGAGACACAGACTGAGAGAGAGAGGCAAAGACCTAGGCAGAGGGAGAAGCAGGCTCCTCACAGGGAGCCTGATGCGGGATCCTGGATCCCAGGATCATGATGTGAGCCGAAGGCTGATGCCCACCTGCTGAGCCTCCCAGGTGTCCCTAAAAATATGCTTTCTAGCAATTTCTTCACTGTAAGTTTTCTCCTCTCATCATCCCTTTTTCCATACTGTAGCCTTTGGAAAGCAGTCACCATACACAGCTCATACTTAAGGAGTTGGGATTTATGCTTCACTTCCATGAAGGCAGAGTACCTACATAAATTATTTGGAATTCTTGCACACAGGAAATTTGTCCCCTCTCCACCATTTACTTAGTTTATTTTTTTATTTTTTTTGTAAATATCAGTAAAGGTCATGGATATTTATTTTATACGTTGGGTTATAATCCAGTACTACTTTATGTTGTTGCTTAAATTGTACCAGCTTTGGTCACTGAGGGCTCTTTCAGTTTGCTCCTGTGTCCCTTTGACATAACTTCATTGTGATTTTTTGTTTGTTTGTTTTTAATACTTCTTATTTTCTGGCACTGAAAGATAGGCCAGATTCTTCTTGGGTATTTCCTGCCCCAGTTCTAGATTCAGCTGTTTCTCCAATAGGGAATACTATTCCCTATTTATTAGGGAATAGTATTAAGATTCAAGATTTGGATGCTAGATGTCCCCCCCCCCTTTTTTTTTTAAGATTTTATTTACTAGAGAGTGCATGCATAAGCAGAGGGAGAGGGAGAAGCAGGCTCCTGCTGAGCAGGGAGTCCAATGTGGCTCCATCCCAGGACCTTGGGACCATGACTTGAGCTGAAGGCAGATGCTTAACTAACTGAGCCACAGGCAACCTGGAAGTCCTTTTTGATACTGGGGTGTCGTTACTTAGCTGACGGATCAAGTGTATGTGTGTGTGCTAACCAGTGTATACAGATATATCTATAAATATTTGTATATGTAACTGTCTTTATTCATTGAGCTAAACATCATAAGCTAAGTTCATACTCTCTCCAACTCTAATCCGTTACCACATGGATCTTTCTAGCCTCCTCCCCTTTCTTATTTGTAAGCTCCCATTTTAAGAGTGAGAAAACCGGCTTCCCCCTCTCCCCATCATCCATTTATTTCAATTCCAATGCATTGATTGTAGTATATAAGTATAGCAACATCAAAAATTAATGCCACCATACTTACCTAGCAGAGGAGATACTATGATTACAAAGATGGTTTTCTTAGGGTGAGGTTTATCCATTGTACTCTGGATGTGCTAACCCCTGTGATTTCCCCAAATATGGGAAACTCAACTGCATAATTTGTGATAGTGGGGAATTGTGTTTGTGTTCTCCCCTGGGAAAAAAATTAACTCCCAATGGGTTTTAATATTATCAGAGTATGGGGCTATGAATGGTTTCTTTTGACTTTAATTTTTTTTTTTAAGATTTTATTTCTTTATTTGAGAGAGAGAGAGAAACAGCAAGAGCAGGAAAAGGGAGAAGCAGACTTCCCACTGAGCAGGGACACAGGACTCAGTTCCAGGAAGCTGGGATCATGACCTGAGCCTAGGGTAGACGCTTGACTGACTGAGCCACCTAGGCACCCCTCTTTTGACTTTAATCTTACACTCTCTACTCATTTCCAAAGTTAATCAGCATCATTTTTCCTCATTAGTAAGGTGGTTTTATTCACTTAGATTATTAGATTATTGGGGGATCCCTGGGTGGCTCAGCGGTTTAGTGCCTGCCTTTGGCCCCGGGCAGGATCCTGGAGTCCTGGCATCAAGTCCCACATCGGGCTCTCGGCATGGAGCCTGCTTCTCCCTCTGCCTGTGTCTCTGCCTCTCTTTGCCTTTCTGTCTATCATGAATAAATAAATAAAATCTTCAAAAAAAAAAAGATTATTAGATTATTTTGTCACAATTGGGGGCACCTGGGTGGGCTCAGTTTATGAGCATCCAACACTTGATTTCAGCTCAGTTCATGATCTCAGGGTTATGATCTCAGGATCATGAGATCAAGCCCTGTCTCTGGCTCTATGCTGGGCATGGAGCCTACTTAGGATTCTCTCTCTCCCTCTACCCACCTCCTAACCCTCCCCCGCCCCCGCACATGTGTGCATTCTCTCTCAGAAAAAATTTGCATTTTATTCTAGGATCTCTCCCCCTTGTAAGTGATTTTGCTTTAAATTTTCATATGTTAAAATTCACTTTTTATGCTGTGGAGTTCTATGAGTATTGTCGAATGCACAGTATTATATATCCACAATTATAGTATCATAGAGAATAGCTTCATTGGCATGAAAATAATCTCTTGTGCTTCATCCATTTATCCCTTCCCCTTATCTCTGGCAACTACTGATCTTTTTACTGTCTCCATAGTTTTTTCCAGACTGTCATATAGTTGGAATCACACAGCATGTAGCCTTTTCAGATTGGCCTCTTCCATTTAGCGATATATATTTAACGTTCCTCCATGTCTTTTCATGGTTTGATGTCTCACTTATTTTGATCTCTAAATAATATTCCGTTATATGGATGTAGCACAGTTTATTCACCTTACTGTATCCTCTGGGGAAGTTTAAATGACATAAATAATTTTGTCTTTTTGTTGGAGTGAAATTGCCAAAGAAACAATTTAGGACTGGGTCATGGAGGAGTAGGACTTGTGTTTAATTTTTCTGTTTGTTTTCTGATTATTTATTTATGATAATCTATGTAATGAGCTCTCTTCCTCACTTAATTTTGACCAGTTTGTCTTTCTTTGAAGGGAACTACCTGTTTCATCTTTCTTTTCTTTCTTTTCCTTTTTTTTTTCCTTAAAAAGATTTTTATTTATTTGAGAGAGAGAAAATGCACAAGCAGGAGGAATGGCAGAAGGAGAGGGAGAAGCAGGCTCTCCTCTGAGCAGGGAGCCTGACTCAGGGGCAAGGTGATCCAAAGACCCTGGGATCATGATCTGAGCTGAAGGCAGACACTTAACCAGCTGAGCCACCCACGTGACCCTCATTTTTATTTTCAAACTTAATATTAGAAAATTACACTGGTGGTCTCTTATTTATTTTTTGTTTAAGATTTTATTTATTTATTCATGAGAGATACAGAGAGAGAGGCAGAGACACAGGCAGAAGGAGAAGCAGGCTCCATGCAGGGAACCTGACGTGGGACTCGATCCTGGGTCTCCAGGATCACGCCCCGGGCTGAAGGTGGTGCTAAACTGCTGGGCCACGGGGGCTGCCCTGGTGGTCTCTTAAAATTTAAAAATCAGGGGATCCCTGGGTGGCGCAGCGGTTTGGCGCCTGCCTTTGGCCCAGGGCGCGATCCTGGAGACCCGGGATCGAATCCCACGTCGGGTTCCCGGTGCATGGAGCCTGCTTCTTCCTCTGCCTATGTCTCTGCCTTTGTCTCTCTCCCTCTCTGTGACTATCATAAATAAATAAAAAAAAAAAAATTAAAAAAAAAATTTAAAAATCACTATACCTGCGGTTATATCTACTTTCTCATGTTTAATGCTGTTTATATGCTTATTTTCTTGTGTTCATTATCAGATTTTCTGAAGGTTTTTGATTGTTTTATTGGTAATTTTATAGCACCATCATAGAGGTTTATTTATTCATGTGTATTTTGGTTGACATAACTTACAGCTGTTCTTAAGGAGACTTTAAAAAATACTTTTTTCCTTTTTTTAAGGATTTTATTTATTTATTCATGAGAGACATAGAGAGAGAGAGAGGCAGAGACACAGGCAGAGGGAGAAGCAGGCTCCATGCAGCGAGCCCAACATGGCACTTGATCCCGGGTCTCCAGGATCACACCCTGGGCTGAAGGCAGCACTAAACCACTGGGCCACCGGGGCTTCCCAAAGTATTTCTTAATAGAATCCAATTTATCATTTTTTAAATGGATAATGCTTTTGTGTTATAAAAATTGATTGCCAAATTGAAGGTCATTGAGATTTTCTCCTATGTTATCTTGTAGTTTTCTGGTTTTGTATTTTATGTTAAGATTTGTGATCTGGGATCCCTGGGTGGCGCAGCGGTTTAGCGCCTGCCTTTGGCCCAGGGCGCGATCCTGGAGACCCGGGATCGAATCCCACGTCAGGCTCCCGGTGCATGGAGCCTGCTTCTCCCTCTGCCTATGTCTCTGCCTCTCTCTCTCTCTCTCTGTGACTACCATAAATAAATAAAAATTAAAAAAAAAAAGATTTGTGATCTATTTTGAATTAATTTTTGTCAGAAGTGTTAAGTTCTGAATCTAGTTTCTTTTCTCCTCCTCCTCCTCCTCACTCCTTTTTGCAAATTGACTTTTTTCTCTCTTTCTTTTTTTAAAAGATTTATTTATTTATTTATTCATAAGAGACACACAGATAGAGGCAGAGACATAGGCAGAGGGAGAAGCAGGCTCTATGCAGGGAGCCCCGATATGAAACTTGATCTCAGAACTCCAAGATCACACCTGAGCCAAAGGCAGACACTCAGCCACTGAGCCACCCAAGTGTTCCGCCAATGGAATTTAAACTGTTGCAGCATCACTTGTGGAAAAGACTTCCTCTTTTCATTCAATTGTCTTTACTCCTGACAGACTGTCTCCTTGACCAAACCTTGGTCAAGCTTCTCTTAGTTCTCTATTCTACTAGGCCTGTCCTTGGCCTGCTTAGTTCAGTTTTGAGAATTGTGTCAGTTTGGAGAGAATCCCCAATCTTAGTAAGTAATCACCCTTAATATCTAGTCAAATTCCTCATCTCTCACCTGCAATATCTTATCCCCATGGTCTGCCTTTAGCAGGAATCCCCTGTTCGGTAGGTCTAGCAGGAATCATCCTTTTCCTTGATGTTCCTTTTGGAAATTTTCCTTTTTTTTTTTTTTTTTTAAGACTTTATTTATTCATGAGAGATACAGAGAAAGAGAGTTAGAGACAGAAGCAGGCTCCAGGGATCCCTGGGTGGCGCAGCGGTTTGGCGCCTGCCTTTGGCCCAGGGCGTGATTCTGGAGACCCCGGATCGAATCCCACGTCGGGCTCCCGGTGCATGGAGCCTGCTTCTCCCTCTGCCTATGTCTCTGCCTCTTTCTCTCTCTCTCTCTGTGTAACTATCATAAAATAAATAAAAATTTAAAAAAATTTAAAAAAAAAAAAAAAAAAAAAAGAAGCAGGCTCCATGCAGGAAGCCCGAAGTGGAACTCCATCCCGGGACCATGCCCTGAGCCAAAGGCAGATACACTCAATCACTGAGCCACCCAGGCATTCCCCTTTTGGTAATTTTCCATTTGCTGACTCCCACTTGCTCCTTGGCTATAAATCTCCACTTGTCATTGGAATCAGAATTCAGACTGATCTCTCTCCCTTTCTGCAAATCTCATTGCAACAATCTCTCTCAAATAATGTCTTACTGTCTTAATAAGTGCGGTGAATAATTTTTTCTTTAACATTCCTTTGTCAAGATCAGTTGACAATCATATGGGTGTATTCCTGGTTTCTGGCTCTCTGTTGTATTCTATTGCTCTATGTGTTTTTTTTCCTTTTTTTTTTTTAATGGATGCCATATTGTCTTGATTACTGTAGTTTTTTTTTTTTTTAAACGTTTTATTTACTTACTCATGAGGGACACGGAGAGAGAGGCAGAGAATAGGTAGAGGGAATAGCAGGCTTCCTGTGGGGCAGGACTCCATCCCAGGACCCCAGGATCATGATCTGAGCCAAAGCAGCCACTCAACCAGTGAGCTGTCAGGTGCCCTGATTACTGTAGTTTTATTTTCAGCCTTGAAATCAGGTAATGTGAGTCCTCCAACTTTCTTTTTAGTATTATGTTGGCTATTCTAGATCTTTTGTCTTTCATTGTAAACATTAGAATCATTTTGTCATTATCTATAAAATAGCTTGAAGAGATTTTGACTGGAATTGCATCAGATCCATAGATCACATTGTAAGAATAATATCTTAACAATACTAAGTCTTTTAATAAATGAGCATGGAACACAGAAGATGGCAGAGGAGTAGGGTCCCCAAGTCACCTGTCCCCACCAACTTAACCTAGATAACTTTCAAATCATCCTGAAAACCTATGAATTTGACCTGAGATTTAAAGAGAGAACAGCCAGAACACTAAAGAGAGAAGAGTTCACGCTTCGAACAAGGTACGAAGACGGAAAAAAAATAAAATAAAAAAGAATCCAGTGGGGGAGGGGCCTCGGGAGGAGCTGGGCTAAGGGGGGCGGCGAGAGCCTCCAGGACAGGAAAGCCCAGCCCTGGAGAAGCAGTAACTTTAAAAATCCTCACCGGATTCTTCCTGGAGGGAAAGGTGCTTGCAGGGAACTCAGGCAGGATCCCAGGAAGGGCAGTGGAGCCCCCAGGTTCCTGGGTC